CCAGCAGGTCGGGGCTGGGGGGGCTGGGAGCAGCCACTGCACTCCAGTCTGGGCAACGGAGTGAGACTCCAACTCAAAAAAAAATAAAAACAAAAAAAACAAAGAAGGCATTCATGGATAATAAGAAATGCCTGGCAGAAAATAGCTAATTCATGTTATTGACCATATTTTTCTTTTTAACATTTGACATTTGTTAGTTTTATTTTAATGTTTTACTCTTGATGGAACATTAAAATGAGACTTCAAAAACAGCATGATATTGGCATAAAAACTGAAACATAGACTAATGGAACAGAGAACCCAGAAAATCTACATATTAAAAGCCAAGTGATCTTCAACAAAGTCTCCAAGAACATACATTGGGGAAAGGACACCCTCTTCAATAAACTGTGCTGGAAAAACTAGATATCCACACACAGAATAATAAAACTGGGCTCCTATTTCTCACTACACACAAAATCAACTCAAGGCGGATTAAAGACTTAAACGTAAAACATGAAACTATAAAACTACTAGAAGAAAACAGAGGAAACACTTCAGGTCACTGGCCTAGGCAAAGATTCTACGCCTAAGACCTGAAAGCATAGGCAACAAAAATAGACAAATGGGATTGTAATAAACTTAAAAAAAGCTTCTGCACAGCAAAGGAAACAATCAACAAGGTAAAAAGACAACCTGCTGAATGGGACAAAATACTTGAAAACTATTCACCCGATAAAGACTACTATCCAGAATATGCAAGGAACTCAAACAACTCAACAGAGAGAAAATCAAATAATCCCATTAAAAATGGGCAAAGGACATGAACAGACATTTCTCAAAAGACACACAAATGGCCAAAAAGTGTATGAAAAATGTTCAACATAACTATTCATCAAATAGATGCAAATCAAAACCGCAATGGTGGCTCATGCCAGTAATCTCAGAACTTTGGGAGGCGGAGGCAAAGAGAACTGCCTAAAGCCAGGGGTTCGAGGCCAGCCTGGGCAACTTGGTAAGACCTCGTCTCTACAATAAATCAAAAAATTAGCTGGGTGTGGTGGCAGCTACTTGGAAGGCTGAGGCCAAAGGATTGCCTGAGCCCAGCAGGCCAAGGATGTGGTAGCTATGAGTGTGCCACTGCACTCCAACATGGGTGAGAGTGAAACTCTGACACACACACACAAAAACAAACACAATGAGATATCACACCCCAGTTCATATGGCTATTCTTAAAGACAGGCCAGGAGCAGTGGCTCACACCTATATTTCTATCACCTTAGGAGGCCAAGGCAGCAGAACTGCTTGAGCCCAGGAGTTCAAGACCAGCCTAGGCAACATAACAAGACCTCATCTCTACAAAAAATAAAAAAATTAACCAAGCATGGTGGCACAAGCCTGTGGTCCCAACTACTTAGGAGGCTAAAGCGGCAGGATTGCCTGAGCCCAAAAGGTCAAGGCTGCAGTGAGCCATGATCATGCCACTGTACTCCAGTCTGGGTGACAGAGTAAGATCCCAACTTAAAAACGAAAACAGAAACAACAACAACAACAACAACAAAAAACAGATGCTGGCAAGAATGCAGAGAAAAAGGAACTCTCATAATATAGTCTATGGGAACAAAAATTAGTACCACCACTATGGAAAATAGTAAGGAAGGTTTCTCTAAAAACTAAAACTAAAACTATCATATAATCCAGCAATCCCACTATTGGGTATTTATCCAAAGAATACAAAAATCGGTATTTTAAAGGGATACCTGAACCCCCATGTTCACTGCAGCACCACTCACTATAACAAAGATACTGAATCAACACAAGTATAGATCAACAAATGAGTAAAGAAAATGTAGTATATGTACACACTGGAACACTATTCAGCCACAAAAAAGAATGAAACCATGTCATCTGTAGCAACATGGATGAACCTATGTTAAGCGAAATAGCCCAGGCACAGAAAGACAAACATCACAAGTCCTAACTCATACGTGAAAGCTAAAAAAAAAACATGGATCTCATAAAGATGGAGAGTAGAATGATACATACCAGAGACTAGGAAAGATGTGTAGGTGAGGCATGGGAATTAAGAGAGATCGGTTAATGGGTACAAACACACAGTTAGATAGCAGGAATAAGTGCTAATGTTTCATAGCACAGTAGGTTGACTATAGTTAACAGATATTGTATATTTCAAACTAGCTACAAGAGATGACTTGAAATGTTCTGAACACATAGAAATTATACTCAAGGTGAGGGACACCCTAAATACCCTGACTTGATCATTACACATTCTATACATGTAACATAATATCACAAATGCCTCATAAATATGTACAAATATTATGTACTTATTTTTAAAAAAAGACTTCAGAAACAAATCTACGTAACATCTACTAGACAACGATTACATACATGCTTGCCTGGTGCTAAAAAAAGGAAGAGAAGTGACACCCTACCACTTTCACCCTAAGGTTAGCTTCATGCCAGCAAACAGTTATCAGTAACAGAAATATCAAGAAAGGGAACCCTTGGGAGACCAAACCAAGGCCAAGGATCCAAAGTCCTCTTACAGTGACAGTCACTGCCAATCTTAGAGATTCAGACTATATTCTTCTTGAAAAAGGTGACATTTTTCCTATAACACCAACTGAGTGGATTACTGATTTATATTGCTATCTTAAAAAAAAAGAAGTTGTGCCGGGCTTGGTGGCTCTGCCTGTAATCCCGCGCCTTTGGGAGGCTGAGATGAGTGAATTGCCTGAGCAGCGAGACCTCATCTCTACAATAAATCAAAAAAATCAGCCGGGCGTGGTAGCGCATGCCTGTAATTCCGGCTACTTGGAA